GCCCCGGGAGATGCCGATAATCTTCTGAATTGCAATTCCTGATGTACAGCAGATCCAACGGTCGTTTCTAGTCCTTGGCACGATAGAAGAAATCCCTGCAGAATTGCTGTCTTCTTTCAACTGATAAAATTTCTGTGTTTGCGGAAGCGTTTAATAGTTGTCGGTTTTAATTGTCCGCTAGGCACAAGCTGGGAGGAGGGAGCGGGGAGAGCATCCTGGTGTCACAGCTGCAGCATGGGCTGACTCTGGAGTTCGAACACAGCGATTCACCTCGTCGCCTTCGCCTCGTACTTAGTGAATTGCTGGCAATTATGAATAAGGTAAATCCTTCCATATCTGGACGCTCCTGCATGTTATGTCAGTGAAGGTGCACTCTGGGAAGGGTGCTATCCTCCCTGGTGCTGGCGCTGCTGGGGTGTGCAAGTGCTCTCCTCCAGTTCTCACCTGCTGCTGCTTTTCCCTCTGAGACTTCATCTCAGTCAGATTGAGCAGTGGCTTGTGATTGTTTATTCACAACCATATGAACCCAGCTTCCTAGAGGAAGTTGTTCTCCCTCAGAGCAAATGAGGATTATCTTTGCTAACATGACAGAGACTCAGTATAGTCTGTAATATTCTGTACTCAAGCATAATGTGATTTTGTGATGCATCAGTGCAGAATTTGTATTTGAAAATGAAATTATGACTTCTCTTCATCTAATTTTTTACTCCTGTTGTAGTATGGTATTTCTCTTACTCCTCCTTGTCTCCCCCAGCAGTTTATTTTTCTTATGTAAACTTACCAGGTTTTGGAGTCATCTGTGAGCTATTTGTCTTTCTTCTGGAAAGAATGAGATCAACTATATTGAATTATTTCCACTAGCAAATATTTCTTATTCTAAATGCTTTTATTCCTTGTTCTGTGTTTATAGCGGTATATTTTTGACAGTTTTTGCTGTGTTCAGGCTCCTGAATTTAAAGCCTTAAAAGACTGATTAGACAAATTGCTTCATAAAACCTCCTTGGTGATGGTGAATAATGTCTTGTAGGTGTCAGAATCAAATGGTGAGTTTTTTCTCAAATCTTCTGAGCTCTTCGAGAGTCCTGTGTATCTGGAAGAGGCAGCAGATGTTCTCTGCATTCTGCAAGCAGGTGTGATATTCTGTATTTATAGTGTTTTCTAACTTCTTATAAATGTAAAAAAATCACTTCTGGATCTGTTGTGACTGATTTAAGATTATTCAAGGCTGTCTAGGTCTTTGAAAGACAGACAGATCACAGACCAGTTTTCCATCCATTGTTTTGAGCGTGTTATTTAAATGCATATTAAAATCAATGTTTTACTTGTTTCGCAGTGAAACACCACGACTTTTAAACCCCTCTCTTTATCCAGAGCTGCCATCCCTGTTGCCAATAGTTGATGTGGCTGAAGCTCTGCTGCACGTTAAAAATGGAGCCTGGTTCCTCTGCCTTCTGGTGGCCAATGTTCCTGATAGCTTTAATGAGGGTGAGTTATAGTTTCTTCTTGTCCAGCTTACTACTTCTAAAGTTTTGAAATGATTTCTAGCAAGGAGTTAATTCTGGACTAAATGACACATAAATATTTGAACAGGAGGACGTTTGGTTTATGAGATGTGACTTGAATGCCTTTATACCTAGGGGTGCTGGTGGGCTCCCATTCTCATCGTGGTGACTGCCCTTTTGTGCAGCCTGTGTGTAGACTTGTGTGCACACTGCAGCCTTTCATCTGTAGGTCCCTGTTAAAGGCTGGCTCGGGCAGTGGATGACTGGCACTGTGAATCTGGCCCAGCCTTGCTGTTCTTGTCCCTTGGGATGAGACGTATTCTGAGGTGAAAACTTCCTTCTGTTGGTGCCTTTTCAGCATCCCTTACCTCACAATGAGATTTCAGTCTCCAGGGCTGCCAGATGTATGGGTGCATTAGATAGAGGACGAGTAATAATTGGATGATGCATAAGTCTGTAATGATCCTGTAATTTCTCTTAAGAAAAAGGCCATTTCCTTGTTCTGCTTGTATAGTGTAGGTCGTGAGCTTTTGCCCAGACAAGGTTTGTGCAGCCCAGCTAATAAGCCAACCTGAACAGAAGGCCTTGTCTGTGTGTGTGTTCACGTGGCTGGCTGTTGGGAAGGCTAGGTTTACTCACACCTCCTGTTGGACGTGCAGTCTGTAGGGGGCTGATCAAGAACGGTGAGCGGCAGGACGAGGAGAGCGTCGGGGGCCGCCGGAGGACGGAAGCGCTTCGCCACCTCTGCAAGATGAACCCTTCCCAGGCTCTGAGGGTGCGGGGCATGGTGGTGAGTCTGGCACCTGAGCTGGGATTACAGCCCTCACGGAGCTGGAGAAACAGCAAAGGTGTTCCAACCGGAGTGTTTTATCTAGGTGGAGGAGTGTCATCTGCCAGGTCTTGGTGTGGCTTTGACCTTGGATCACACCAAAAATGAATCTTCAGATGATGGAGTGAGTGACCTGGTGTGTTTTGTGAGCGGCTTGCTACTTGGAACAAATGCAAAGGTTCGAACTTGGTTTGGAACTTTCATTCGAAATGGCCAGCAGGTATGAAAACCTTTGAATTCTCTGCTTTTAAAACAAAATACTCTCACAGCTTGCTGTAACTCATTTGGATTTGGGCGCTCCTATTTGTCTGGATGCATATAAGTCCTGTTGCATGTCTTGGAGCAACATTTAAAAGGCAACCTCTTCTTTGGAGACCATCAGCTCTATAAATAGTGTCTTAGAAGGCAGCTATCTGGTTGTTCCTCTGAGAGATTTTTAGGCGTGGAAACCATGGAATTGTAAGTTCATAACGTTTAGCTGATAAAGAATTTCATCCTCAGTGTTCGTAACAGGGAGTTGCATCTTGACATGCTTAATTAGTTGAGTTAGTTAAAGGTTTTGTTTTTGATGTAATAATCTGTTTTAATATCATGTGTTGCCTGTTGCCCTTGCAGTGAAAATTGTGTTTAAAATCCATTCCTCTTCTCCCCTCCCTTTCAGTTCCCTGACTTCATCATTCTGGAAGCTCTTCTGTAACACATTGTTTGATGGGATGAATTTAACATTGTTCTCATCTTTTAACCTCTTGCACAGAGAAAAAGAGATAATATCAGTTCTGTGCTTTGGCAAATGAGGAGGCAGCTGCTCCTGGAGCTCATGGGAATCCTTCCCACGGTTCGCAGCACACACATTGTGGAGGAAGCAGATGCTGACACGGAGCCCAATGTGTCTGTGTACTCAGGGCTGAAGGAGGAGCACGTTGTCAAAGCCAGTGCCTTGTTACGTCTCTATTGCGCCTTGATGGGGATTGCTGGCCTGAAGTAAGGAGCCTTTCCCTGCCTGCTGCTGTGGATTTGCTGTCTGTTTAAACAGAGCTTTGAGCACTTTTAGCATGAGCTGTCTCACAATGCCTACAGCAGTCTTGGCAAGACTCACCAATTTCTGTACCAGGGGAGGCCCTTCTCACGTGCAGAGTGCTGGAGATACCAGCTGATGGAGGTTTCTTGAAGGTGCAGAGAGCAAATGCTAAGGGCTGGGGAGACAGGCATGGTTCTTACTAGTGCTTTCTGGTACTGTTCTCAGCAGAAAAGTTTTTTCATGTGAATGGTAAATATCCATTTATCAGCTTCAGTGATTTTTTTAATCTAAAATAATGCGAAAATTGTGGTGCTCTCTTTAATGCTGCAAAATAAGTTCTACTCACTGGTTAAAAGAAGTCTAGGCCTAAATGATTGGAGCAGTGTGTGCCAGAGAAAGCAGCTGAAAACTCTTATCAACATGCACTGTAGGAATTTAGAATTTCTTTTCTTCTGTTTCTACATTTTAGAGAGTGCTATCTTCATGATCTGTTAGTTTTCATTTAGGTATCTTGTACTAATATGCAAGATTATATTCCAGGGGAGTTTTTTGGTGAGGCATTAGACCAGGCTGCCCAGGGAGGTGGTGGAATCATCATCCCTGGAGGGGTTAAAAAAAAAATGTGTAGACATGGCACCTGGGGACATGGTTTAGTGCTCATGGTGGTGTTGGGTTGATGGTTGGACTTGCTGATGTTAGAGGTCTTTTCCAACCTTAATGCTTCTATGGTTCTGTTCTATGATTCTCACTGTTGTTATTCTTAAAAGAGATTTTTATGTCTTTAAGTTCAAAGAGAATTGGCTGTTAATCTTGATTCTCATTTGTTGACGACAGCTTGATAAACAGATTAAGTAACAGAGGAAATTCAGTGTTTAAACATTGTGATGAGGTTGGAAATCCCTTCACTTTTAAATTAACAGCATGGGGTTTGTTCTTCCTCTGTCCTGTTCAGGCCAACGGATGAAGAGGCTGAGCAGCTGCTGCAGCTGATGACCAGCCGGCCTCCCGCAACTCCCGCTGGCGTTCGCTTTGTGTCTCTGTCCTTCTGTATGCTCCTGGCCTTCTCCACTCTTGTCAGGTACCCCTGGGGAGAGTTGAGCTTTGTAAAGATGTTCCTGTTCTATCACCGTTAAGGCAATGACTTCCCCAGAGCTGCACACTTTTTCTCTCTTAATTCTTGATACAAATCTCCCTGTGTTGGCTGCAGGGATTTCTCTCATACTAGGGTGAGTAAATTGATATTCTGCTCTGTTCTCCCTCTTGTTTATAGTGAATTATAGAGAGGGGAGCATCAGCATTAGCTTAGTTTGGAATGCTTTGTGAAGGCTAAAGTAGGCTTTACTAGTTCACTTTGCTACTGAACAGGTTTCTGGCTAAATTCTTTAGAGACCCTGTCCAGAAGAGTGGCAGTACAGGTGTGGCACAGGTGTGGCTCTCTGCTGGGTGCAGTCAGGGTGGGAAATTGCCTGACAGTTGGACTGAAATTTGTGCTAAATATCAGTGCTTATCTCCAGCCATAAGATTCCTCAAATACTGGTTTTTCTGCTAGTAATTGTTAGTAAAACTAGTGGTAGTTCCTGGGAACAGGATCTCATGGATTTTCTTTGTGCAGCACCCCGGAGCAGGAGCAACTCATGGTAATGTGGCTTAGCTGGATGATAAAGGAGGAAGCTTATTTTGAAAGGTGAGAGCAGGCTTCTTTTATTTGTAATGATTCCAGTAATCTCACAGTTAGATTGAAAATGTCCTGCTAGAAAATTAACTCTTCCTCTTTGTTACCATTAGCATTTCTGGTGTGTCTGCTTCTTTTGGAGAGATGCTTCTCTTGGTAGCCATGTATTTCCATAGTAATCAGCTCAGTGCTATCATTGATTTGGTCTGCTCCACCCTGGGAATGAAGGTAAATCCTAAACTGTTCCTAGCACATACAGTTCTGTGTTAAAATTAACTTTCTACTCTGTAGTTATTTATGCTCTTATATTTACTTCAGATTTGATCTAAAGAAATGTGGTTTTGCTAATAGACTTAGAGCAAATAAATTTAAAAAATGGATAACTAATTAGTTCCTTTAGGAAAACATTAAACTATGCATACCTCCATACAGAGGAACATTATGAGAAAAGTGTCTCCAAAAAGTGCTGGCTTGTTGAAATCATTGTGAAAAACAAACTTTTTTAGAAGACTGGTTGAAGTAGTTTCCAAAATGAGCTGCAAACTTTTTAAGTAGTTTAAAGATATACCTCTATATGTAGTAATTCATTTCTGAAAATTACCAAGGGAGACTAGCCTTCAATTGACTATCATGAAACAATGTCTCATCAAATATAAAAGCTAAGTAAGTGATTTTTAGGATAAGGAAGAAGTGGAGTGATGAACTTGTGACATTTGAAATTGTTTTTGGTTTACATTTGAATTATAGGTGTGAATGTTTTCCTGGTATCCCAGCGAAGACAAGTTTTAAAAGGTTAAAACTTAATAGTTTCTAAAATAAATTTGCTGCACTTACTTATTAGAAACCTAGAACTTAAAATTACAAGTACTTTGTTTTTTGTTTCAGATTGTTATTAAGCCCAGCTCCCTCAGCAGAATGAAGACAATCTTCACACAGGAGATTTTCACTGAACAGGTATTTTAAGCCTAGGTTTGCTCTATAACTTTTCCTCCTTTCCTCTGTAATTGCTTCAGTTTGATGTACAAGAAGAATCCAAGCCCTGCTGGTACTGAAGAGCATTAACTCTTTTTGTTTTCTGATCTGATTATGCTTTTTGAACACTTGGCTTTTTTAAATCATGGGGAAACAAAGGAGAAAAATTGCCCACTCTGACATTATATTTTGCAGTAGCAGGAGATCGTTCACAAATGTAATAGATGTGCCGCAGTTTTACAGCGTTGTATTAAACCACATACAGATGTTCTTCAGCTCCCAAACAACCAAAGATAAGGAAATGGCAGAAAGAATGTAGCTGTGTGACTTCATCACCTTGTGCTTATGCATTGTGATAAGCTGAATATTTGTGGTAATTTTTTTGTTAATTGTAACTTTCCTTTAGGTTGTTACAGCCCACGCGGTTCGCGTGCCTGTTACAGGCAGCCTCAGTGCCAACATCACTGGGTTTTTACCTATCCACTGCATCTACCAGCTTTTAAAAAGTCGGTCATTCACCAAGCACAAAGTATCCATTAAGGTATGACCCTCATTTTGTTTCTGCTTATAATGTTGTATGTTGACTAGCTTTTACTGGCTGGTTTTTTGGTTGAATTACAGGAACAGAGTTCTCGATGAATCTTGTAGCCTGTTATGTAGTTTAAGAAGGATCTGTGTATTAAAGCCCAGCTTTAGCTCTGTAATTCAGAGGCTACAACTTAGTGACACTGGAAACAGTGAGGAGGTTATGTCTCTGCCCTGTCTTGCTTACTAAAATCATAGTCAGGGTGGCACTTCCAGCCAGGGTAACTTTTATTGGTGTGTATCCTGGACCCTGTACAGAGCAGGGTCCAGGATACACAGTTTATGACCAGGCTCAACTCAGAACTGGTGTCACAATTTACAATGAAGCCTCATTCATTTAAATTTTTTGTAACTAGTTAAATGGGGATGTACTTGCAGACCAAATAAATTGCCCTCCAGCTTTGAAACTGAACAAGTTTGGATATGTTTTTTCCTAGGACTGGATCTATCATCAGCTCTGTGAAACCACCACTCCACTCCATCCTCAGCTGCTTCCCCTCATTGATGTCTACATCAACTCCATCCTTACTCCTGCATCTAAATCCAACCCAGAGGCCACAAACCAGCCGGTCACGGAACAGGAGATACTGAATGTTTTTCAAGGACTGTCTGGGGTAAAGGATTTCTTTGCTTCTTTCATGTATTTTAATGTGAAGTTATAGATCATATTTTGTGTATGTGTTTGGAGCAGATTCTGCAGTTTGCCTCAGTTTTTCTCTTTAATGCCTGTTTAGTAAACTGCCTGCTCCTGCAGTGACTGTTCATGTGTTTTGAAGTGAATCCTGTTAGTGCTGCTCTGATCTTTTTTTTGAGGATTTCTCTTTTTCCCTGTTTTGCCCTTTTCCTTGGGAACTTGTGAGCTCACTCTGTGAAACATGCAGAGAAAAGCATTTTCTGGATTGAAAAGTGGAGGAGTTCATGTAGGATTTGTGTAATTTTTTTTACTGACTTGATCCTGTTAGTTAAAAATGCTATTTGAGGGAAGCACTTTAGCTGGTTTTGAAAGAAGCATTTTCATTTTCATAAAGTATAAGAATGGTCATTTGGACACATGTAGAATGAGTGGCAAACATTAACTGCATTGGAATCCTGGAATTAGTCCTGATGAGTGTCCTAAGATACCAAAAATGCATCTTATGCATTGAAGCTCATTAGAAAAAAAAAAAGAGGAAAAAAATTGCAACTTTCAGCTTAGATTTCATATGGCTTGAAATGAAAGCATGTAGCTTTATAAAAACCTTACTGCCTTATCTTTCTCCCTACTTGCAAGTATATCCAAATTTTTGTTCTCAAGAATCAGAAATGCAACATGACCTTTGCATGTGGGTTTGTGTGCAGGGGGAAAGTACCCGTCTTACTCAGCGATACAGCATCACCACACAGCTGCTTGTCCTCTACTACGTCCTGTCGTATGAAGAAGCACTTCTGGCCAACACAAAGATCCTAGGTATGTGTGAATCCATCAGGGAAAACATGAACTGAAAATTGGATGCAAAAGGAGGAATTCTTACAATCAAATTCAAGCACAGTGTAAAAAGTTTCGATCCTTGTGTCAAGTACAGCATTGCTGTAGAAACACAGCAGATAAAGTTTCTGCTAAGACTCTGTAGCTGAGTAATTTGTTTTCCATATTAAAAAGGGTCCAGGCTGGCCTAAAAGTTACCAGAAATATTTATGACCATCTAACAAATACAGCAACAATTAACAAACACTTGTTAATAACTTCAGGTCTTTAATTATTGTGTCATCAAACTTGGACACGCATTTCTTTAGGTTGGCAATTTTATAGTTGGCAATACTAAAGGATCCCTTCTTTACCTTTGAAACTGACACTTTAATTCTAAAAGAACATTGTGTAGTTTGTTGACAGTGTAATTCACATGAAAACATAATGTTTAGACCTGGTGAGTGTTTTTACCTGCCCATTTTTGGGTGCAAAACTTCCAGGATTTATCAGTATTCTTTTCTTCATGCTATTCAAGAAAGGCTGAAATACTATAAAATCAATTGCAGTTCTTCCTGCATTTATAATTTTCACCTCAGTACATATCTAAATGCCAGGAAAATTTTTAAGTTGAAATGTTCACAGAAATGGTTTCCTGAAGCACTTTATTTAAAACTTTTAAGAGGATGAGTTTCGTTATTTGGAATTTTCTCTGTTTTACCTGGACAATATAGAGACAGATGCTTTACATTTTCTGTATTGATCCAGTTGAGGAGATAATTTTTCCTATTGTAACTGTTGTGTCTGATGTCTCATCCTGTTCCCTTATAGCTGCCATGCAGAAGAAGCCCAAGTCTTACTCTTCAGCATTAATGGATCAGATTCCAATCAAGTACCTCATCCGGCAGGCACAAGGACTGCAGCAGGAGCTGGGAGGTACCTGTGTGTGTGAATCTGTGAAGTGTACTGAGAGGTTACTTCCTTTCTCTTTCTTTTAAAATCTGTCAGAGGAAATCAGTGAGATCACAGATATGTTTGAAGAGTAATGCTGAACATTTGAGGAAGGCAGTCCTTTTCAGAGTTGGTCTTGCCTACCTAGGGTAGGTTTTAGAGCAGGAATTGTCTCAAAATTAATAAATATTCCAGACTGAGTTTTAAGAGTTACTGTAGGATCCTCCCACCTTTCCAAAAGTAACTTTTCCTTTCTGTTGGATTTATAGTATCAGGCTGTAAACATGCAAGCATTGAACTTCTCAGTAGAGATTCAGTTAAGGTCAGTTGTTGAAATGATAGGCACAGATACATTCAGATGAAAGATGTAGCTGCTCAGATCTAAGCTGTATACTGTCTTCATTCCCCTGAAGGCTTGCATTCTGCACTGCTACGCCTGCTTGCAACTAACTACCCACACCTCTGCATTGTGGAGGACTGGATCTGTGAGGAGCAGATCACTGGCACTGATGCCTTACTGAGGAGGATGCTTCTTACAAACACTGCCAAGAACCACTCTCCCAAACAGCTCCAAGAAGGTAAATAACCTCATTTGAAGTAAGCAGTGTTCTTTCCAAGTCAGCTGGAATACAGTGGATTTGGAATTAGGTAGCCATTTAATTCTTTTGATTATTCTGTATTTGTGTAACAAAAATGTTCTTCCAGAAAAAATGTCAGAATTCCAGTTTTACCAAGATCCTGTTGTCTTTATTTCATAGCATTTTCCTTGCTGCCTGGAAATCACACCCAGCTGATGCAGATCTTGGAACATTTAACACTTCTCTCTGCTGCTGAATTGATCCCATATGCAGAAGTATTGACATCAAATATGAGCTGCTTGCTGAATACTGGGGTCCCTCGAAGGATTCTTCAGACTGTCAATAAACTTTGGATGGTTCTTAACACTGTGATGCCAAGAAGGTGGGTTCAAAATGCCATTTAGTTTGTTGTTGCAGGTAGGTGGAATGCCACTTCATGTTACAAAAGTAATGATACAGCACCTTTGTCTGGGAAATTGGAGGTTGTAGCTAAATAGAACGTGTTGGAGTTGCATTCCTTTTTGCTTTCTTTAAAATATTTAACCTTTGCAGTTAAAAGGAAGGGACTTCCTGTTCTCAGAGGAGGGGAAGTCACTCACTTGCTTAAAGTACAGGGCTGTGGGTTTATGGTGTACGTTGTTTTTGACAAGTAAAACACAACATCAAACAGAAACTTACTCCAGTAAGAATGTGCCTGTTCTGAGGAAGTGGATGCTCTATTGCAAAGGAAATAGTTTAGTTGCTGTAATTCCAGTGAATGTCATTAGCATATGTATTGTCTTAATGCATTAACTAATGCATAGTGTGGGGTTTTGCTCCTTGATAGGCCTAGAAAAAGGCTGAGGTAAGTGTGTGCCCAGATGATTATGTGATCCTTATTCTCCTACAGCTCATCTAATTAAAAAAATGATTGAAATATTCTCGTTTTAGGTTGTGGGTGATGACTGTTAATGCTCTGCAGCCTTCAGTGAAAACGATCCGACAGCAGAAATACACTCAGAAGGATCTGATGATTGATCCTTTGATTGTACTAAGATGTGATCAGAGAGTTCACAGGTAAGCATCTTCCTCCTTTAGCTTTCTGTGTTCTTACATTGATACACCATGAATGCTAAACACAAAAGTGTCTCACAGGAAACTTCTGAAAGCCTCCAATACTTCAAAACATATTTTCACACCCATCACAGGAGCTTACAAGTTCCATCTGTTTTGTGCTAAGCTTGCTGCTCAGAGGACTGATGTGCTGAAACAATGTGCACATCTTGTGGTCCAGCTGAGTGTCTCCTTGGACAGCCTTACAGCCAGTTCCATTTTTAAAACTTTGGGGTTTGTACACAGGTCATCCATTTTAGATTTGTGTGTGTGAATTTGTGCTAAACAGATATTGCAGCATGCTTAAAATGTCTGCTGCCACATGGTGGTGGTGGTGGTTGAGGTAGCTGTAGCATCCTCCCACTGCACACTGTCTTTTGCCATCCCTTTTGCCTGTGGGTATTCCATCCTTTTGGGTAACAGTTTCTGCCAGCTTGAAGGATATGACAAAGGTAGATGTGCTTATTTTCCAGAGAAAGCCTCTTAGTAGTACTTGGAAATTAGTTCCTCTAGATGTCAGTGAGGATGTGTAATGCTGCTTTATGGCTCTGAAGCATAAGTTCAGAATTTCAGTAGTGAAAATGACCATAATCAGTAGTAATGGACCTACTTGGAAATTAGTTCCTCTAGATGTCAGTGAGGATGTGTAATGCTGCTTTATGGCTCTGAAGCAGAAGAATAAGTTCAAAATTTCAGTAATGAAAATGACCATAATCAGTAATAATGGACCAGCTTCTATGAAGAATATAGAATAATGCAAACAATAAGTCAGAATTTGTAAATAATAACTTTTTTTCATAGTAATGAAGAAAATTGCATCTGTTATTCTAAAATGACACAGTTAATAATTTTATTTTAGCCCCTACCTTTATTCCTTCTGTTTTCTTTCTCATGTTTTGTGTCATTTGTGATTTACTTTTCCCCTTTTTCATTATTTTCTTCATATTAAGTCACTAATAATCAGCTTGGTTTGTTCTTCATGCTCTTGCTTGTGTGCATCTCTCCTCCCTTGCCTTTCAGCAGCTGAGCCGTGAATCTAATTTTCATTTCACTTGCTACAACTCTGCTAGACTTCAAGTTTCAGTTGATGACATCTTCAATCTCCATCCCATAGGTGAAATACTTAAATGTACATCCCTTCAGCCCTGGATGGAAATTGAAAATTCTACATTACTAAAACTGTTAGGGAAATATACAACACAATGTGATTTGGAAACTGCCATTTTAGTATTGCGGCAGCAGTCCGGAGCTTGGCTGCCTTGTTTTTCCCCAACATTCAGATAATTATCTTGCCTTACTTCATGTAGAGCCAACCCTTTTCAGGTTTCCTTTGTTGTTCAGAAACCAGTCTCTTCAGCAGTTCCTTGGTTTTGTAGATTGCACACCTACGTGTGTGTGTGAGAGAAGCAGGACTGGGTGGCAGGGCAGCAGAAGGGACAGTGGCCTTCCCTATTTTTCTGTGTTAGGGACAAACAGCTTTAGTATGATCCAGGCTACAACCAGATGAGCCTTTGTGATGTGATTTTAGCTTGTTCCTGTTGCTACCATCTTATAGTTCTGCCTAGTGAAATGCCTTTATTTTATCATCAGGAGCCCTCCCCTGATGGATATAACTTTGCACATGTTGAATGGATACCTTCTTGCTTCAAAAGCTTACCTCAATGCTCACCTCAAAGAAACGGCGGAGCAGGATATTAGGCCATCCCAAAACAATCCAATGGGTCCAGAGGCCCCAGAAGTTACAAGGGAAGAATTAAAAAATGCATTGCTTGCTGCTCAGGTAATGGGAAAGAAATGGATATTAACTGATATGAGGAAAGACAACAATAAAGCAGAAATACAGAAACAGGAAATTAAAAAAGGAGAGTTTTTAACTTTTTTTTTTTTACCAGCTTCTGTTGCCAGGAAAAAGAAAACTGCCTCTGTTTTCAGACTGTTAAATATTTTCAGTCTTCTCTTTTCTGGTCTGAAGCATTGTCTTGGGTAACTGTTTTGAGAGTGTTCTTTTCTGTTAGTTAGAACAGAAGAGTCTTACTAACTAGTCCTTTTACCTTGTTGCTTTTATTGTCCAGAGGCTCTTTCTGTTCTTAGATTTGGAGCAGGAGAGCATGAATGTGACAGACCTGTGCATGATGATTTGGACTGAATGTTATTTCAGAGAAGCAGCCAGCATTGTGAAGTGTGAGGCTGAAGGATGCTTAATTTACTTGGCTTGACATGGTGGGAATTCTTGAGTAATCCTCACAGAGTCACTTCTTACCTTGGTCTAGAAGAATGTCACATACATAGTCCCTATTAAAAGATGATTTTTGAGTTAATGGGAAGTTTTATATTGAAATGAGTAGTGTGGTCTCCTCTGAATACTGTGAATCACATGGGCACAGGCATATGGTGTCTGATCTGGATGCTTTAAGGGACCATTGGATATTTATTTTGAAAGAGTACAAGATTCTGTTGAATTTGCTCTTTTGATCTGTGATAATGATTATCTGTCAGATTTAAGCTTTCTTTTTGAGTCTTGATTCAGATAAAGTATTGGGGTTTTCTTAATGTGCTGTTGGATTTGTGATTCTTGAACTGAGTAGTTTTTTATTTTGTATAAAAAAAAAAAAAATCTATAGCTAGAAATTCTATCCACATGGCAATCTTCTGTAGCTTAAAATTGCCATTACGTTATATTTGCTGGCTTTTTCATTGGGGGTTTTAGTGCATGTTCTCTTGCTTATTTTCTTCACAGGACAGTGCTGCTGTGCAGATTCTCCTGGAGATCTGCTTACCTACAGATGAAGAGAAAGCCCAGAGCAGTAATACTGACAGTTTGCTGAAGAGTGTTCAGGGTAGCCCAGGCCCCAAGAGCCCTGAACTAGAAGAAGAAGATAGCTTGCTGTGTAATCTTCGAGAGGTCCAGTGTCTGATCTGCTGCCTCCTGCATCAGATGTATATAGCTGATCCCAACATAGTCAAACTAGTTCATTTCCAGGTCTGCTTTGCACTATTTTAGTTCTTTCAGTTTTTCTGGTAAAGCAGGAGACAGACGAAGAAGTCAGAGATGTTGAATGCTGTTGTGTTCCTCAGAAGTTATAATGACCCACTTTTCTGCTTCCCATCTCACCAGATTCGTAGTCCCTACATTTCTCTGTACTTTGCTGCTTGGACTCTGTGTTACTGAGATGGGAACACCTAAATTACACCTGTTCCTCATCATTAAACACATGCTTTGTTTGTGTCTCTGCCCTTTTTTATACCAGAGTAGTTTGTCCATTCTCAGCTGAGGAAGAATGACCTAATAATCTTAAAATTGCTGGTTCCATATCTTTTGTAGGTTACTTTTTTCTGGCCATGATTTTAAATTGGTATAGCTATTATTCAAAACTGTAATTTGGCTTCAAATGTGAACATCATCTTACCTTTTTGTTAGGGCTGGTTTTGTCTTTAGAGTGGAAGGAGAAATGTTGCCCTTGCCAAAGCAGCTGTACCCCTTCAAAAAACAAAAGAAGGGAAAGATTAGCAAGTTTTTCAATATAAATGTGGTTTTAGTGTGTGTTAAATTGCTCATTGCCAGATGGCCATCCCTTTAAAAGGAGTTAATTTACCTTGACCTGGAACTGATTGACTAAAAAAAGTAGCAGTTGTGAAATAAGCAGGTTGGGGCCTGTGGTGAAGTTTGGAACACAGGGGAAGGACACAGAAGGAAAAGGTCACAGCAGCCTGGTTTAGATTGAGGAGTGGAGGGAGAGTTTTTATGTGAATAATATATTGACTGTTGAGGATAAAAAGGTGATTCAGACCCTGGGTTTGTCACCCAGCCTACCTCGTGTTGCCTTGGGATACGGGCCTGTATATACAGTATATTCATTTTGGAAAAAAAAAAAAAATTATGCAGATCTAATTTAAAATCTGAATTGAAGCAGAACTTTTAAAATGCCTTTGACACATCAACACATCAGTTTTCTTAATCACACAGGGTTACCCTTGTGAACTCCTGGCACTGACAGTGGCGGGGATCCCATCGATGCACATCTGTCTGGATTTCATACCGGAGCTCATTGCCCAGCCTGAGCTTGAAAAGCAGGTACTGTGCAGTCCTCTGGTTTGAGACTCACTTTAAGGAGTTAACCCTGATGAAGTATTGGTTAAGGGGAGCAAATACAGGCAGCACTGAAAAGAATCCTCTTCTAACTTGCCTGGGATATTGAGGTAGTATCTGTAGCACTTTCACCTTAAAGGCTTGGCTTTTAAATCCTCTTCAAGCAGGCCTTCTGAGAACTCCTCTAACATACCTCTGTACACATGTAGAGGACATACTCATGAATTTCAATATTACCTTCAAGAACTTGAATAAAAGCACTTTTCAATGACATCATGCTTGAGTATAAATCAGTTGGCAAAAGTTCTGCCTACTTAGTTTTCATCTGATACTTTATAGCCACAGGAACTTCTGTGAAGATCAAAATTTTGTAAATATTTTTTTGCAAAGATAGTCTGTAGAACAGATGAAGCAGTCAACAACAATCAACATTTTATTTGTTCTCCTGAAAAATTTGACTACTAAGTCTTTTTCCAGGGAATACTACTACTGTGTCTCGAAGCAAACTTGTGACAAGAGTGTAAGGTGTAAATTTCTAAATCAATTTAATTTTCTCCTTTGCCAGTTGTGTTGCTGGTTCTTTCGCTGGTTTCACTGCAAGAACAAACTCAGCTAGAATGACATGTGTGGCTTTCCTTTGAAGAATGTTAGTTTCTTCTCACTGAAGGCTTAGCAAGGAGGGAGTCAGATTTAAAATGTTTCACCAGTATTTTTGAATTTTTTTCATGATGATGATTAAAAACAGTGGCAAATAATAATTTATTATTACTTTCTAAAGCGATTTGTTGACCCTTATTTTGTGTACTGTGATGAGGGCAGATTCTGTATTTTGCTAGTTGTAGGTAACTGGAATTTGTTTGGCTAAAGATTCCTGTTTTCTGGATCAAGCCAACTTTGTAGTTGCTCTTACTTAATCCCTTCTCAAATACTAAGTTACTGTGGATGAGAGGACACTCAAAGTTACAAGTAGAACACATTGGAACTTAAAACAGCTTTTCCAAGGGTTATATTGTAAATTGTGTGTTGTTTTGTTGCTCATTATTAATGTTGGAACAAACTGTGCCTGTAGGAGGTATTCTGCAACACTAACACTGGTACTTTGATATTAAACATGTGGGGCTTTTTTCCTAAGGTCAGCAGAAGAAATTCACAGTAACTGTTATTAAGGCTTCTGTGGCTTTAAGATCCTCCTTGGTGAAACAGAATATTTGCTAATTCCTATGCTACATGAAGAGCTTTGGATACAAAGTACAAAGTAAGCTGTAACTTCATTGCTTATTTCTCTTCTGCCTTTCATCTGCTCCACAGATCTTTGCCATCCAGTTACTCTCATTTCTGTGCATCCAGTATGCACTGCCCAAGTCTCTCAGCGTGGCTCGTTTGGCCATCAATGTGATGGGAACCCTCCTCACAGGTGAGCACTCCAGCCACTCCTGTGCACCTGAGTGTGCAATAGATGTATGGAGGCTGAAGGCAGGTTTGTCTGAATGCCACTGTGTTAATTACAGTTATAGAAGTAACAATCATTCCTTTTTACTTAACCATTTCCTTTCCACTGATAGTTTTGACCCAGTCGAAGCGCTACGTTTTCTTCATGCCGACCCTGCCTTGTTTGGTGTCATTCTGCCAAGCCTTTCCTCCTTTGTATGAGGATATTATGTCTCTGCTGATACAAATAGGACAAGTTTGTGCCTCTGATGTTGCTACACAGACAAGAGACTTCGACCCAATTATTACACGTAAGTGAAGTACCTTGTATTTCAAAATTAACATTGTGGTCCTGGGGAGGGAATTATGTTAGTGTATCAAAAGTGTGAGTGTAGTTGGAATGCACTGTGAAATTTACTCCTGCTGCCTTGTAAATATAGAATGAATAGGGATAGGTGAATTTAATGGATTGGAAGAGAATATTTGGAGGCTAAAGGGTATGAAGGTACCCCTTTTATTAAACTTTGTACTGCCTTCCTTCAGTTTTATTTCCCTGCTTGTACCATTTCAAGATATAGCCCTGTGTCCATATGTCACACGTGGAATTTGCCATTGTAGTCCAAAGATGAAAGATGTGAGCAAAGGCTTTTGAGAACACAAGGACATTCCAACACCTCAGCTGAGGCATGATGGCCATATAAATCTTCCTAATCTGTTGGAAGTGTGAAGTCAGATGAGCTGCCCAAAGTCTTAGACATGACCTAATGTAGTTGGATAAATAGATAGTGATTGTGTGAACACAGATTAAGTGTCTTAAGTGTGTCAGTTGATCTTGAGCATGTTTTTGTCTCTGTTTTTGTGTAAAGACAAATGCTCTGTTCATGTAATACAAGGTTCCCTGATGCTATCTATGTTAGGAAATTTATGTTGAAAGAAGGAAGAGGGAATATTAAAAACCCCAAAGGAGTCAGACATAAGTAAATGAAAAAGAAATGTTGTAGTGTCTCTAGAAATAATCTGTGGAGTTAACCCTGGTGCATGAAGTAGCAATGGCTCAAATTTGCAATTTCATAGTGTACATGTTTGTGTGATGGGTGTAATATGTTTTTTTTAAATTCATGATACATGTATTTTGCTTCCTCTGCTTAATTTTCTAGGTTTCCAGCAGCTAAAGGAGAAACCGCATGAAGTGTCAGGACTTTGTAAAGATTCATCTAGCAAAAGTTGCTCCAGGGATGTTGTGAGCATGGACCCTGATGTTCAGTTATGCCAGTGTGTTGAAAATACCATCATTGAAATAATTAACATGAGTGTAAGTGGAGTTTAGGAAGAAGGCAAATGAAACTGTACTTTAGCTAGTCCCACGGTCTGTGGTGCCTGAATTTGGAGAAGGCTGTGAAATTGGACTGAGGAACTGAAGCACAGGAAGTCTGTGGGTTTATTCATTTGATTCAGTTATAGCTGAAAAGAAAGGAATTCTTTAAAGAGGCTGATGTTGCTTCTGGTGAAAACTTTGGAGGCTGATGGGGTTGGTAGATAATTTCCAGTGACAGCAGGCATGATTTTCAGGCTTGCTTGGTTTCGGAAGTGATGCAGCAGCACACCCAGAAGGGTTTTATAACACACTGAAAGGTGAATGCTTAATTTATTGAGCAAACAGCAAAATGATGGGTGAGAAAAATTTGAGATTGAAATGCTTGGCTTGAGTTAAAAGAATTACTGTTCCTGAGCCTTGCAGAGCGAGATGGAATAAAATACTCCAAGGAAGACTTGAAAATCTGGTGTAAGTAACTTGCACCATCACATTAGGCACTAAGGAAATGCTTCACCTTTTTTTTTACTTTTTTATTTGTGTTGTGAACCATTGGTCAAAGTTTCAGTTCATGTGATTGGGATCTTCATTTAAAGATCAGTCAGCCTTCATTAAAAGCTTGAAGCTGTTGAGGCTGACTGTGACAGAAGGCAGAGCTCCCTACAGTGAAAGGAACGGCCGATTTCAGCCGTGCCCAGGTGGTTCCGTGCAGCTCAGTGGAGGACAGCACTGAGCCCTGTGTGCTTCACACGTGAAGCTGGTGGTTCTTCCCTCTGCAGGAGCTGCAGGGTTTAGCTGTGACAGATGTGGTGTGTGGCATCGCAGGGTGGGGCATGGGGTGCAATAGTCAGGAGTTTCTTGAAGGTTGCACAAGCTCCAATGTGAGGCAGCACACACTTCTGCAGCAGAGAAAGGAGATCAAGGTTTGGGTGTTGTGTCAGGAGTGAATGTACTTGAGTTGCTAAACTTCTCAATCCAGCACTTACTCTTCTAAATGACAGCATCCAGGATCCTTCAATAAGTAAAATACTTTTCAGTTAAACCCGGTTTACATTCCAGAAATCACTGGTCTGATTGTGCAGCAGGGCCTTGGTGCAATCACACAGCTCGTCCTCCCTGAGGGCGTGGGGACCCGATGGCCCCGGGGTGCGTTCCAGGACCGCCAGGGGCTGTCGTCGTCGTCCCCAGCCCCGTAACGCCGGCCGGCTGCTGCGTTTATTTGTCACCCCGATGTAAAGCTGTAGATAATCTAAATGTGTATTTTTTTTTCCTCTGAGTGTGATTTTATACGCTGTAGTGTTTTTTAAATAAAAATACCCCACTCCGTGACTTAATTCCAAAGGCAGTTGCCGGTATTGATTTTAAGTTTCAAAATACTTTGCGAATTCCCCCATGGTAAACGCGCCGTCGCCCAGCAACGGGTACAACCGAGAAGCCAACAAGGCCGCCC